CTCAGATCATGGACCCCGTCCGCATCATTGCTACTATCATCTTTCAACTTATTTTTCTCTAGGAACATATCCAAAATAAACGGGGAGCTATAACGTGAGCTATTGGTCTACAACATAATTTGCAAATACTATCAGGACTAAGTTCATGATAAATTAAAGTTCAATTAATCATATTAATTAAGAACTCCCACTTAGATAGACATCTCTCTAGTCATCTAAATGATCACGTGATCCATATCAACTAAACCATGTCCGATCATCATGTGAGATGGAGTAGTTTTCAATGATGAACATCATTATGTTGATCATATATACTATATGATTCATGTTCGACCTTTCGGTCTCAGTGTTCCGAGGCCATATCTGCATATGCTAGGCTCGTCAAGTTTAACCCGAGTATTCTGCGTGTGCAAAACTGGCTTGCACTCGTTGTATGTGAACGTAGAGCTTATCACACCCGATCATCATGTGGTGTCTCGGCACGATGAACTATAGCAACGGTACATACTTAGGGAGAACACTTGTACTTTGAAATTTAGTGAGAGATCATCTCATAATGCTACCGTCGTACTAAGAAAAATAAGATGCATAAAGGATAAACATCACATGCAATCAAAATAAGTGATATGATATGACCATCATCACCTTGTACCTTTAATCTCCATCTCCAAAGCACCGTCATGATCACCATCATCACCGGCTTGACACCTTGATCTCCGTCGTAGCATCGTTGTCGTCTCGCCAACTATTTCTTCTACGACTATCGCTACCGCTTAGTGATAAAGTAAAGCAATTACATGGCGATTGCATTTCATATAATAAAGCGACAACCATAAGGCTCCTGCCAGTTGCCGATAACGGTTACAAAACATGATCATCTCATACAACAATTTATATCTCATCATGTCTTGACCATATAACATCACAACAAGCCCTGCAAAAACAAGTTAGACGTCCTCTACTTTGTTGTTGCAAGTTTTACGTGGCTACTACGGGCTTCTAGCAAGAACCGTTCTTACCTACGCAGCAAAACCACAATGATTTTTCATCAAGTGTGTTGTTTTAACCTTCAACAAGGACCGGACGTAGTCGAACTCGATTCAACTAAAGTTGGAGAAACATACACCTGCTAGCCACCTATGTGCGAAGCACGTCGGTAGAACCAGTCTCATGAATGTGGTCATGTAATGTCGGTCTGGGCCGCTTCATCCAACAATACCGCCGAATCAAAGTAAGACATTGCTGGTAAGCAGTATGACTATTATCGTCCACAACTCATTGTGTTCTACTCGTGCATATAATATCTACGCATAGACCTGGCTCAGATGCCACTGTTGGGGAACGTAGTATTTCAAAAAATTTACCTACGATCACGCAAGATCTATCTAGGAGATGCATATCAATGAGCGGGGAGAGTGTCCACATACCCTCGTAGACCGAAAGCGGAAGTGTTTAGTAACGCGGTTGATGTAGTCGAACGTCTTTGCGATCCAACCAATCCAAGCACCGAACGTACGGCACCTTCGCGATCAGCACACGTTCAACTCAATGGCGTCCCTCGAACTCTTGATCCAGTTGAGGCCGAGGGCGAGTTCCATCAGCACGACGGCGTGGCGACTGTGATGATGAAGTTACCGGCGCAGGGCTTCGCCTAAGCACTACGACGATATGACCGATGTGTGTAACTGTGGAGAGGGGCGCCACACACGACTAAGAGAAGACTTGGTGTGTCTTTGGGGCGCCTCCCTCCCACGTATATAAAGGGGGGGGAGGAGAGGTGGCCGGCCCAAGGGGGGCGCGCCATGGGGGGACTCCTACTTGGACTCCCGGTCCAAGTAGGATTCGCCCCCCTTTCCTATTCCCACTAGGAGAAGGAGGGAAGGAGGAGGAGAAGAGAAGGAAAGTGGCCCCCCAACCCTAGTCCAATTCAGATTGGGCTTGGGGGGGGGCCGCCACCATCTGGCTGCTGCCTCCTCTCTCCACTAGGGCCCATGAAGGCCCATTAACTCCTGGGGGGGGGGGGTCCGGTAACCCCCGGTACTCCAGAAAATGCCTGAACCTTTCCGAAACCATTCTGGTGTCCAAACACAACCTTCCAATATATCAATCTTTATGTCTCAACCATTTCAAGACTCCTCCTCATGTCCGTGATCACATCCGGGACTCCGAACAAATTTCGGTTCATCAAATCACATAACTCATAATACAAATCGTCATCGAACGTTAAGCAAGCAGACCCTACGGGTTCGAGAACTATGTAGACATGACCGCGACACATATCCGGTCAATAACCAATAGCGGAACCTGGATGCTCATATTGGCTCCTACATATTCTACGAAGATCTTTATCGTTCGAACCGCATAACAACATACGTTATTCCCTTTGTCATAGGTATGTTACTTGCCCGAGATTCGATCGTCGGTATCATCGTACCTAGTTCAATCTCGTTACCGGCAAGTCTCTTTACTCATTTCGTAATGCATCATCCCATGACTAACTCATTAGTCACATTGCTTGCAAGGCTCATAGTGATGTGCATTACCGAGGGGGCCTAGAGATACCTCTCCGATACACGAAGTGACAAATCCTAATCTCGATCTATGCCAACTCAACAAACACCACCGGAGACACCTACAGAGCATCTTTATAATCACCCAGTTAAGTTGTGACGTTTGATAGCACACAAGGTGTTCCTCAGTATTCAGGAGTTGCATAATCTCATAGTCTGAGGAACATGTATAAGTCATGAAGAAAGCTGTAGCAGAAAAACTAAACGATCATTATGCTAAGCTAACGGATGGGTCTTGTCCATCACATCATTCTTAATGATGTGACCCCGTTTATCAAATTACAACACATGTCTATGGCTAGGAAACTTAGCCATCTTTGATTAACGAGCTAGTCAAGTAGATGCACACTAGGGACACTCTGTTTGTCTATGTATCCACACATGTACTAAGTTTCCAGTTAATACAATTCTAGCATGAATAATAAACATTTATCATGATATAAGAAAATATAAATAACAACTTTATTATTGCCTCTAGGGCATATTTCCTTCAATTGCAACACCCTACCACATGAATCACATATTGATACATCTGCAACCACCACTAGAAAATACCTTATAGGTAGATGCTTAGCAGCAGCGGCAGGTAAGTGCCCCACATTGTTGTTAAGTAGCAGTAGCAAGGGTCAAAACCCAATGCCACAAATATAGATTAGTAGCAGCACGGGTGCTTCCATCCCGCGCTGCTGCTAAGTGGGCATCACCGTACTCCTGGGTTGAGCCATAGTTTCAGCGTTGGGCATAAGCCCCACGCTACAACTAACCATGTAGCTTTAGCGAGGGTCATATGGCCCTCGCTGCCACTACCCATACACGGGGCCGGCTGGTGGGCCTCATTTAGCAACAACACTGGTCATACAACCTGCGCTACAGCTACAACACCTAGTAGTAGTGTCGTGATTTTGTCACGGCAGATGCCCTAGTGTAAGGACTTAGGTGTGGAGCCATCGTGACATAGGTTAGCTCGAAGGGGTTGAACGGGACAAAGGACACAAAGGATTTACCCATGTTCGGCCCCTCACAACAAGGTAAAATCCTATGTCCTGCTTCTAGTTGTATTACTTGAGTTTCGATTACAAGGGAGCGAATACGCTTGACCTGGCTATCGATCAATTGTTTCTTGAGTTAACCCGCCGCCGGGTTTCACTTTTATATACACAGGTCGAGGCCCGGCGGCTTACAGAAGTCCAGACTGGATCACATAACGTAACCGACTCTGTCTCTAAATCATCTTCCCTTGTTAGGCAAGCTATCATCAAGCGACTCACACCTTCAGGTCTTGAGTCGTCTCCGGGTTGTAGGCCTTCAGCAGGCCTGCTTGTGAGCCGCCTCCTGTCTTCTCATCTTGTCTTCTTAGACCTTATTGGGCCTTCAATTATGAGTCGCCAACGATATGACCCGGCCCCTCCTGGCTGGGTCATATCACGGGGTTATATCCCCAACAAGTAGCGTGGGATCGTTCCCTTATGTTAGACAACCTTGATTCCAATATTGCCAAAAAGCTTTCATATCTCATAAAAGTGATTCCATTAGTTCAAATATGAAACAAAGGGTTTCTTGTGCCGCTGTCGTCATCGCCATCCGAGAAATTTTGGTCCCCGCGCCTCCAGCTGCCATTTTGGCGCTGAGAGGTGGGGGGACCTCGGATCTTCAAAACCTCTTTGTTCTTCATCAACGCCTAGTGGTAATCATAGTTTGGTGAGAATAAACTTCATCTCGTTCTTTGGCAGTGCCATGAGGTTAGAGAGTTTTCTGTCTTCGCAGATTCGATTATTCGGATCTGATGAGTTTATGTTGTTGTGTCAAGTTTTTTTTGTTGGTTTGATTCTTTGTGGAGGTGAAATCTTTCATCGACATCATGCTGAAGATATATTGATTCGACAACCTGCACTTCTAAGGGATCATCCCCGGTCCAAGTTCATCAATCAAAGCTTTCCATCTGTTTAGATGGGCCACTCAAGGCGCTTTCAAAAATCATGCAGGTAAAAGAGTGACAACATTGTTGTTTCAATCTAATTGCAACCTCTTTACCGAAGTGTTTGGAGTATTTTTTTCAAGCAGAGATTACTACCGCGAAGAAGGTGTATACAAGAGACTTCATTGTAATTCTTGGTCATAGGAGTTACTTTGTATTTCCTTGAATCTTAGGTTCAAATCTGTGTACCTGTAATTGTTATGACCAATAAAGTTACATGTGTTTCTAAAAAAAATGATCTTAATTGTTTTCCTTTTTGAAAAACTAAAAAATAATGTATGCTTTCTTCTCATCCATCGCCAGCCAAAAATTTAGAGTTGCTAAAAAAGGCAGAAATAGAGCGAGCATCCTTAATAATCGACCAATGAGAAGAGAGCATGCATGCATGCATATCCATCTAAACTGGAGAATCATCGCCGAAGCTCGGAGAAGAAGGTGGGAGACCGACCATAACGATGTGCAGGTACCAGCAGGATGACAGGGATCTGGAAGAGGCGCCGTCGAGCTCGCCGCGGCTTGTGGCGGTGTGCGTCGACAGTGGCAGGAACAGCGTGAGCGCGTTAAAGTGGGCCGTCGAGGAGGCGCTCGCGGGGAACAGGAACAGCCAGCCCCAGCCCATCGTCCTCGTCCACGTCAAGAAGCCGGCGCAGCCGCGCGTCAGGGAGATCCTCCTCCCGTTCCGCGTCTTCTGCGCGCGCAAAGGCGTACGTTCCTTCCTTTCATCCACACGCCGGCCGGTGCACGCAGAGAAAAAGAAAACCAATTTGATGTGAAGGTGCATGCAGGTCTTCTGCATGGACGCGGTGCTGGACGACGGCCACGGCGACGTGGCCAGGTCGATCGTCGAGTTCGCGTCGCGCGTCGTCGTCGAAAAGCTCGTCGTCGGCGCCACCGCGAGGGGCCTCTTCCGAAGGTACGTACGTGCGTGCCTCGAATTAAGTCGTCGCCGTGGTGTGTGTTTCTGTCGTCATCGTCGTTCTCGCGGCCGTAACAGCGGCAGCGTGTGGATTCCCTGCCAGAAGGTTCATGGCGGCCGACGACATCCCGACGGCCATCTCCAAGGGCGCGCCGGACTTCTGCGACGTATACGTGATCGGCGAGGCCGGCAAGGTCTCGTCCGTCCGAGCCTCCACGGACAGGGCTCCGCGCGTGTCCCCGCTTTGGCCGGAGATACGCAGGCTCGCCGAGGCGGCTGAGAATCTCTGGTCGGAGATACGCAACCTCGGCGAGGCGGCCGCGAGTCCGCCGGCGGGACGTGACCGGCTGGGGCGCCGATATGGCGGGCCGGTTTCCATGCCCGATATATTGCAAGAGAATCAGGAGCTCCGTCGTGCCAACGAGACTCTAGCACAGCGGCAAGAACTCCACACCCGGATGATTTTGGTGAGTAGGAAGTAAGAACACAATCTATTTGAGAATCTAATAGTCGAGCCGTAATTCATCCATGCATGATATGTACGAGTAGTAACATTTGTTCTTTGCAGATGCTTTTCGCGGAGTTGGGTAAAGAACCGCCCCGGGAGCTCCTACATAATATTGGAACTCCGAGCAATATGAATCGACAACAAGAGCCTGTTACATTCAACACCCTGGTTTACGAACAGTGATAAACCGTCCCTTGTTCATGTCACATAGCACCATCAAGATTGTCTATGCCAAATGCCACATCAGTATTCAGTTTGTGGTACCATGTATTGAACCATTTGTAATGATCTTGAACAATCTTCGACGAAACAAATACTTCCTCCGTTCCATAGTTTGAACTAAAACCATGACATGTGTTATAGAACGGCGGAAGTACTTTTTCGTTGTCCTAAGTCTTTCAAAAATACTTAAATCCTAGACATGCATCTGGGACCCTAAACTTTTCATACCGAGCAAATTCCGTCTCCTGACCTTATTTTTAGGCTTATGACGTATGATGTGGAATTGTAGTTCCACAGAAATGATAGGCTATTCAACCAAAAAAATATAAAAAAACAGAATTATGATCAAGTAAACAAAAGCTAAAAAGAGATATGAAAAAAACACTCACAAGGAAAGTTAGAAAATAGTTAAGTATTTACAACGAAGTTCTTAATTACATGTAGGGAATTATGCTCCTAGTACAAGAGCTTGGCAGGTGGGTTCACTTTCATAAAAAACATACAAAACCTACAACGCAAGTATAATAATTTGGCTTGGAGGTGCATTTGAGGTACAAATTGCTCTTGTGCCAACACATGGACACCAGCGGGGCAAAGTGCATGCACTGAGCTTCTCAGATTCTTTGCAAAATGGGCACTGTGAGTCTATGAAATTTCGGCCAAACGGCCCCGGGCTTCGTAGACATCTAGCTTAGGTTAATAAAACTGACCTAATCCAGCCATCTCACGCGCTTAGCGTTTTTGGCCATCTATTTTTTTGATTTGGACATTTCTGATCATTAAATTTGTTGTCCTAAGAGGCTGCTGCTCCAGAAAAAATGAAGCACTATGGTTAACTGGGTCACCTCTGCCAGCCCATTTATCTAACCGAACATAGTCCAGGAAAAAAAAACTATTCGGTCGATTCATGGGTGGTCGATATAACCATCAACAAATTACGCATATCGCACAACGCCGCCACACATGGATGATCTCGATCTCTTCACCCGTCGGAGCCCAACACCAACGGCGGCGTTGATGTCCGTGGACCCCGTGGCTGAGCCAACTTCACCCCTTCCCCGTGCCGCCGTCTCATCATGCGCCTTGGTGGGTGCAGGCCACCACGTCCCATGCGCAACTCTCGGGCCGCCACCGCAAGCCACCGCTCCCACCGTCGCCTTCCCCGTCGTGTGCACCAGAAGGATGACCTTTGATAACCCACAAGTATAGGAGATCACGACAATCTTTGAGGATAGTATTTCACCCAAATTTATAGATTCGACACAAGGGGAGCCAAAGAATATTTGTAAGTATTAGCAGTTGAGTTGTCAATTCAACCACACCTGAGGAACTAAATATCTACAACAAAGTGTTAGTAGCATAGTAGTATGATAGTTTGATAGCAGTAGCAACAGTAGCAACAGTAACAATAGTAACGGTAATAGTAACGTAGCAGTTTTGTAGTGGTCGTAACAGCAGCAACAATGAAAGTAACTTAGCAAAGATCAATATGTGAAAAGTGTAGGCATTGGATCAGTGATGGATAATTGTGTTGGATAACATTCATCATGTAACAGTCACAACCTAGAACGATACACAATAGTTCTAATTTATCAATATAATGTAGGCATGTATTCCGTGTATAGTCATACGTGCATATAATAAGAACTTGTATGACATCTTTTTTCCTACCCTCCAGTGATAGCGGGGTCCATAAGGAAGTCTAAGGGATATTAAGGCCTTGATACGTCTCCAACGTATCTATAATTTCTGATTGTTCCATGTTGTTTTATTATCGATCTTGAATGTTTTATAATCATTTTATAGTCATTTTATATCATTTTTTGGTACTAACCTATTGACATAGTGCCAAGTGCCAGTTGATGTTTTTTCCATGTTTTTACATCGCAAAAAATCAACATCAGACGGAGTCGAAATGCCACAAAACTTTAAGATGAATTTTTATGGACCAAAAGGAAGAAGTTGGGCCCTGGTTGCACCTAGGGGGAGTCCCGAGGAGGGGACAACCCACCAGGGCGTGCCCACCTCAGGTGCCCCCGGACCACCTCTTTGCTCTATAGATACCTAAATATTCCCAAAACCCTAGGGGAGTCGATGAAATATTCATCCAGCCGCCGCAGAGTCCAGAAACACCAGATCCAATCTAGACACCATCTCGGATGGGGTTCACCACCTCCATTGGTGCCTCTCCGATGATGCATGAGGAGTTCTTTGTAGACCTTCGGGTCTATAGTTAGTAGCTAGATGGTTTCATCTCTCTTTCTTGATTCTCAATACAATGGTCCCTTGGAGATCCATGTGATGTAACTCTTTTGCGGTGTGTTTGTTGGGATCGATGAACTTTGAGTTTATGATCAGATCTATGTTTTTATATCCATGAAAGTATTTGAGTTTCTTTGATCTCTTTTATGCATGACCTCTTATAGTCTCATATTTCTTCTCCGATATTTGAGTTTTGTTTGGCCAACTTGATCTATTTATCTTGCAATGGGAAGAGGTGCCCGGTAGTGGGTTCGATCTTACGATGCTTAATCCCAGTGATAGAAGGGGAACCGACACGTATGTATCGTTGCTACTAAGGATAAAAAAATGGGATCTATATCTAACACAATGGATAAACGGATCTTGTCTACATCATGTCATCGTTCTTATTGCATTACTCCATTTTTCCATGAACTTAATACACTAGATGCATGCTGGATAGCGGTTGATGTGTGGAGTAATAATAGTAGATGCAGGCAGGAGTTGGTCTACTAATCTTGGACGTGATGCCTATGTAATGATCATTGCCTGGATATCATCATAATTATTTGAGGTTCTATCAATTGCCCAACAGTAATTTGTTCACCCACCATTTGCTATCTTTCTCTAGAGAAGCCACTAGTGAAACCTACGACCCCTGGGTCTCTTTCTCATATTATTTGCCTTTGCGATCTACTTTTATTTGCTTTTATTTTTAGATCTATTAATTCAAAAACCCAAAAATACCTTCCTGCATTTTATTTCTATTTATTTTATTTGGCGTTCGATCTATCAATTTATTACAACTTATTCCCGTCCGCACGCTATTTCTGGCGCCGTTACCCGAAAGGGATTGACAACCCCTTTAACACGTCGGGGTGCGAGTGGTTGTTATTTGTGTGCAGGGGCTGTTTACCTTGTGTTGCTTGGTTCTCCTGCTGGTTCGATAACCTTGCATTGGTTTCATATCTGAGGGAAATACCTACCGCCGTTGTGCTGCATCATCCCTTCCTCTTTGAGGAAATACCGACGTAGCTTCAAGCGACATCAAAAGGAATATTTGGCGCCGTTGCCGGGGAGGATCTTCAACATAATCAGGTTCCTAATCACAAATCTCCACTACAAGAAATATGTCAACTTGCGACCATCACTATTGGTCACTGAAAGGTCATTGTTTTTCATTTGCGACCTTTTTATGACCAAAAACAGAAGGTCAAAAGCTGGCGGTCATAAACTGAAATTAATGACCTTCTCTGTGAGAAGGTCGTGGAATTCCATGACCAAAACAAAAGGTCGTTGATTCTATGACCTTCTGTTTTGGTCGCTAGCTCTCTGCCCAGGCCATGTCGGATCCGACGTGGCAAAATTGCGACCAATTGAAAAGGTCGTTGATAAGAATCGGCCCGGTCCAGTTTGGTGTTTTAGATGGGCCGAGCCCAACAATTCAGCCTTTTTATATGTATTTTCTTATTAATTTTGGTCAGCTATATGGGCCAAGCCTTACAATTCAGCCTTTTTATTTTCTGGGCCTAGGCCATTTCACAGTTCGTTTCATTAAGCCTTTTGTTACCGGTTTTTCTTAAATGCACAATATTCCAGCCCACTATTGTTTGGGCCATAGCCTTTTAGACCCGAAATATTACTTGGTCCAGTAGAACGTGTTCGGTCTTTTTCATTCATAGATTTCAATTTTACACATTTCAACATAAAACAATAAATAATTCTTGATTAAATTATTAAATACAGAATCATTTGTTCAAATATTCAGAACATCATATAGATGTTTGCATGTCCAACCGCATATACACGGTGGCAAACTAGCAACATCAACAACATCAAATATTCAAAACATGGTGGAAAACTAGCAACATCAACTAAAACTGCGGTGCGCATCTCGAGGCTTCCTTGATCTTCTGTCACAGCACCAGCATCCTCAGCAACATTAGATCCTGATGTACATCATAAACTATTAGTGAGATACATTGGGAGTTAAATTATTGCCAATAAAAAATATTGAGACAATTATACATACATGCCCAAATGCTTCAGTTCACTAAACACTAAGCAAGGCATAGCAAAAATTCCAACAACTTGACAACAACACGTTAATCTGTTGTTCTACACTTCCACTACAACATTCAAGCTCATGTTAGGCACCAACAATGCTAACCTACAGGTACCAGCATGGTATATTGGTACAAGTGCATGTCATGCAATGAACGTCACTGTAACACATTCACCTGAAGAAGAGTACTGTACTATTCTACTACCACGACCATCCATTCAACTGTCGTCATCTAACAATACTAGTAAGCCCACACGGACTAACATCACAAGGCAGGAGAGAATAAAGGGAATCAAGACCTGATGATGATAGTGTTGACAATGATCTGATTGGAATTATCAAGCAGAGCAAAAGAGCAGTGTGACCATCAAGTCGCAGCCCTGAAGAAAGAAAGAACTAATAGGGTCAACTACTTATTTATTCAGAATTGAGAGTTGAACAATCATCAGAAAACTAAAGATACTGCTCAGCCAACTAAATAACACATGATTCAGTCACACGGTATAATTCTGACTATAATATAACAAGAGAACTAAAGATACTACATACTTAGAACTCAACTAATAAGTGAGAATGATCCAATCTGATGCAAACAACTGATTTTATTTGTTGATATTACAAAAGGAAGTGTATAAAACAAACTGCAGCAAACAAG